CTCCTCGGCTCGCTTGCTAACACGGTGGACGCTCCGTTTCGCGGGAAGTTGAGCTCGGCAGCCCACAGAGGTATAATCCGCCTGGGAGGGGCTTATTCAACGGCCCATGTGCCGCCTCCATTGGCAAGGCAGGCAGCGGGGGATGGCGCTGGCAGGCAGCCCAATGCTAGAAGCGTTGAGTGCAACTGCTTTTTCGTGCGCCGCCGGCCCGAAAGCGCGACTTTTTGCTGAGTTTGGAGATTTGAGTTTGAGTGGAATTTGAACAGCTCTTCTGAAACTTGCCCGAAGCCCAGTTCGTTTGGCTTCTAATATTTCCGAAGCTGTTCACGATTGCTTCAGACCAGATCCAAGCGCCAGGACCGAGAAGGACTTTGAGCCGGGTGAATTCAGCACGAAATTCATAGCTTTGCTTAGCAGCAAACTTGACCGAGTCAAAGGTGACGCCGGGACCTGCCGAAATCTACTTTTTCCTTAAGAGTTTTACTTTGTATTATTTTAATCGTGATTTCTGGCTGCAAATAGCAAAGGCTGAAAGCAGAGAATCTCTGGCCCGAAGCCTGACTGAATCTCAGGTTTTGAAATTTGTCTTGCAGCGTGGATATAAAAATGAAGATGGTGACCACGATGGTGTGATCTAAATATCATCCCTGTTTATGCGTATTTGACGGCGTGGGGACCTAGTGGTGAAGATGCTCGCCTCTCCACGGAGAAGGTTGAAAGTTCAATCCTAGGTAGAGACAGATGTTCCTCTTCTAGGAAAGAAGTATCTGCTGTAAAGTCCACTCCGACTCCCCAGCTCTGCCCCGAATTTAAGACACTACAGGGTTGTGAAAAGGGGAGTATATTTGCATTGCACATTAAAGAAGAAGCAGAACTTCAATTGCACCATTGTAGCCATTATTTTGACTTTTCTTTTGCCATAGCCTGCAGACCTGCACTACCAGGCATGGCTGTTTAGCATTTTCTAAATCAGAGTTGCTAGGTGCTGCCATTTAATGTGGCACTTTAACTTATGGATATTTTCAAAATTGTTTTTATCCCATTTCCCCCACATTCACAGGATTCTACTTGCATAATACCAGCTGAAATGGAATCATTGATCCCTTGTTCTACCTTTTCATTTTTAAGCCAAATGGCTGTTCAGTAGAACTCTATAGACTGCACGTTCTAATGCTTCTAAGACTTCACATGATTTGAATCTGTCCCTCTGTTAATGCAACCTAGTTGGCTTTTTTGACAGCTGCAGCACACTACTGGCTCATATTTGATCGTTCAGTAGGACCCTAAGATCCCTCTTGCAGTTCCTACTATTGAACCAGGTACCACCTATTCTATACCTGTGCATTTGGTTTTTCTTGCCTAAATGTAGAACCTTAACTTTCCTCACCACTGAAATTCATCTTGTTAGACAGGGCAGAATGTTCAAGTCTGTCGGGATCCATCTGTGTCTTGAGCCTGTCTTCTGGTGGGTTGGCTACTCCCACCAGCTTGGGATCCTCTGCAAATTTGAAGAGTTCCCAATCTCTCCCCTGATGTAAATTGTTTATGAAGCTATTGAAGAGTGCTGGGCTGATGCAGAGATTTCTTTGAACTGGTGCAGTTTTCAATTCTTCTGTATCAACCTTCCCCCCCCCCCGTTCACCGGCACAGTTTGCCAGCAGAGTTAATGAACAATATAAAGCTGTTCACCACTTTATGCAATGTCATACATGATTACAGTGAGTTTCATTATTTCACCATGTTTTGGCACAGGGCCAAAGATATGGCATGGACTAAAGAGAACAAGCAAAATGCAAAAAAGAAGAAAGAAAGAAACCCGAAACCAAAAATGAATTTAACTGTGTATGTGACAATTCTAGAATTCATTATAGAAAATTTTTCCTGTTCAATTAGAAAAAATAATTGTTTGGGTTTGGGAAGAGGGGGGGAGATACTTTCTGTTGTATTAAATCTTAAAAGGTTGGTAAACTCTAAATCATATTCAACTAAGCATCTAATTTATCATGGTAGATATATCCCAGCATCAGAAGTAGATGCTGTACACCAAACAGCTGTCATGGTTCCAACAGATGAAACCCTTCAAAAGAACTTCGAGGCATTGTTTTCCTTAAAGAATCTTTTATTCGGGAAACAAAGTATCGACACTACATAGTTGAAACCAAAAACTAAATTCCCCTCCCCTGGATACAAAGTAATAATGTACAATTCCCACACCCAATAAACACTCATATAACACATTCCCCAATTAGCTTAAAGCTTACTCCCCAGCTCTCCAGTTATCAACTCTGGGCCCAGTTTGTCCTTGGGTTCCCATGGCAGAGTTATCGTTATGGCTGAGCTCGTATCCCAAACCCCCCACCCCTGCACTAACTAATTCTAAGCGTAAGAAAAATGGAAAAGAGAAAATGGCTGCATTTTCATCTATTGTCAAAGCAAGAACATCTGATGTTAGCAGCATTGACAACAGCTTTATAACATGTACTCCCCCCAAAGTGTGTATGTGCGTGTGTATGGATTTCATAAGCTTTGGGAGAGATTTCAGATTTCTCAATCCCTGTGGGGAAAAAATGTATATTGCCTCCTCAGTTTTCCCACTATGGAGATTTCAGATTTCTCAATCCCTGTGGGGAAAAAATGTATATTGCCTCCTCAGTTTTCCCACTATCTACCCACTGCCGTCATGAAATTAGCAATCTTATTGTGAATCCCAGTTTTCCAATGTTGGTGCTGTTCTGAATCAGAGGAGACTGAGGGTGTGAGTGGGCCAACAGGTGAGGGGGTTAGCTTCCTCCCCTGGCTCTGCTGCCATCACTTTTTTGCAGGCCATTAGCCGACAAGTTGACACACGCACCCTTGGAGTACTATAGCAAGAATTGGAAGTGTTTGGTTACACTGACCCGTCTCTCCTTCCCCACCCATTTGGGCACCTCCCATCTTAAAATAATGAGACATAAAAGAAGCATGCTGTGATGGAGGGGGCCTGATTCACTGCCTTAACAAAGTCAGCAGATGTCACATCTCTGGCTCCGTCCTGGGGAACCCTCGGCGCATGCCAAGAGGGCTTCAGGGTGAATATGCAGCACAGCAGCAGCACCTACTTTATATGCTGCAGCTGCTCTTTGCTCAGCTCTGGCACTTGCTAGGCAGCCTTCAGAATGGGAATCTCCTGTTCGCACTCTCTGCTGTAGCTGCCCACTTTCAGAGGTTCTTGGCCCACCTGCACTGAAGGCCACCCTGGGGCGGATGACTTCTTCAGTTGCTGCAGGAGAACCTGATATGCCCAGCCTTGCAGCTCTTTGGATAGTAGAGTAGAAGAGGGCTGGCAATTGGAGGCCATGCATCAGGGTGCCCCAGTAGACATCGGAGCCTCCCCTTCCCTCTTCTTCTGGGGCTTCAGCTGGTCTAGCAAATCCAATTCTTTTTTCTTATCTCTTAGTTAGTAGAACAAAAGCAGGGTGGGAGTGATGCTACTTTGCCCTTATAACTCTTTCTTCTTGTCTGAGCTGCCTAGTTTTTTGCGTTCCTCTCTGCACAGAGAGAAGAGTGCCTTTTTCCTTTGCTGCAAGAACTAGGGCAGCTGGCAGGGCGTGGTGGGGTGGAGAGCGGTCTTGCTCTTTTTCTCAGTGCTTCTGAGTTAATAAGTGAAGACAGATGGCTTTTATTAAACTGTAGAGGCTGGAAAATCTAAACTGGTAGTATGAAAGGCTAGTCTAGAGAAAAGAAGGACGGGGGGGGGGGGATATGATAGCAGTGTTCCAGTAGTTGAGAGGTTGCCACAAAGAGGAGCGGGGTTAACTTGTTTTCCAAAGCACCAGAAGGTAAGACAATGGAAACTAATCAAGGAGAGAAGCAACCTGGAATTAAGGAGAAACTTCTTAATAGTGAGGACAATTAACCAGTGGAAGGGCTTGCCTTCAGAAGTTGTGGGTGCTTCATCATTGGTAGTTTTTAAGAAGAGATTGGACAGTCACTTGTCTGAAATGGCACAGGGTCTCCTGCTTGAGCATGTAGTTGGACTAGAACAGGGCTTTTCAACCTTTTCACAGATTGTACCACTTTTAGGACATGACAATATTCGAGTACCACCAGTGCTTAGCATGGTGTCAAAAACTTGATGACTAAAAAAAAGGGGGGGGGATTTTGGGCTTTACTGGTTAGATTCATTTGTTGTTATAGAAATGGCTATAATATTATGGAAAAGTAAATCGTTGAGGTTCAATCTTAATGCTTACTTCTACTGCAACAGAGGAAGTCAGAAGTCAATGCCTTTTCTTTTTCCTTTCTCCCCCTCACTTTTCCCTTTTTCTCTCACCCTTCACTCGCAAAAGCCTCTCTCGCTCTTTCACTCACTCAACCTTTGCTCGCAAAAGCCTCCCGCTCTTTCACTCACACATTGCTTGCAAAGGCCTCTCGCTCCCTCACTCACCGTTTCGCTAACAAAAGCCTCTTCTCTGTTTTTTCCCTCTCCCTCTCCCACCAAAAACCTGCTCCTTTTATAGCTTCTCCTCTCTCTGCCCTCCTCCTCCTTCTCTCTTCCAGGTGTGCCGGAAGCTCCAGCCAGCATGTAGCCGCGTGTGCAGATCCTGGTACTTCTGCTGAGCCCTGCAGCTCCAGCTTATCTCCTCCAGGCCTTCGTGGCACCACTTTAGCTCGTTCCCTCCCCCGGTATACTTGGCTTGGGGTCGCGTACCACCTGCCAGGTGCTAAAGTACCACGGGGTACCACCAGTTGAAAAGCCCTGGACTAGAAGACCTCCGAGGTCCTTTCCAGCTCTATTCTGATTGAAAATGCTCCTCACGAACTTAATCTGCCTTTCCCCTACTGAAGGAAGCAGAAGCTCAAGAAACAGACACGGAGTAACATAGTTTGTTACTTAGGCACCATTTAGGAACTTTTCTATTCATATTATAAAAAGTAGCCTCCCTTGCTGCAACATTGGAGCCCAAATTTAAAGTGGGGAAACAGACCAAGGAGGGATTAAGAAACAGAGTATTTTTTTTCATTTTCTTATATTCTTTATTAGGGGAACATGTGCCTTAGAATAATAATAAAATTTGAAAATATGGAAGACTAATGAATGACTCAAGGTCCCTCATTCATATGGTGATTCCAGTTGTTATCCTCCTGAGGCCTGTGGTCTCTTCTAGATTTTTTTGTTGCCCCACAAGGCACAACTCAAAAAGATGGGAGTCCTGATGCAGCGACTTGATTTCAGGTAGACAGCAATCGTCTCCAAGGCCTACCGAGAAAGCCAGAAGGATATTTGTCATTGGCTAGTGTGTTGTCATTACACAGCACAATAGTCTAAGCCAGAACAAAACTGCAACTGTCTGTTTAATATCTGAAAAGCTATATTGTTGTTGCTTTCAATTGGCAGTTTGTTTGCAATATGGGAGATATAACTTTTGAACACACAGAGTTGATCAAGTCCTTTGCCACTATTTCATCCATTATGGTAGGTGTCTCCAACCTTGGCAACGTTATGACTTGTGGACTTCAAAACCCAGAATTCCTCAGCCAGCCATGGTTGGCTGAGGAATTCTGCGAGTTGAAGTCCACAAGTCATAACGCTACCAAGGTTGGAGACTCCCGCATCATGGTATGTCACATCTTTTTCTTTCACCAAGGAATGAATGAGAGAAGCTTATCTGTTCGTTCTACTCCATTCAGTGAAAAGTGAAGACTTTTCAATTTCATGGTATGTAGCACACACAATGGCTGGGTTCATACATAACATTAATGATGAGTTTCTGGGGGGGAAAAAAGCCATATCCCTTGCTGTACAACCACAATGGTGTGATTCAAAATCACCCTTAGCCAAAACTTAACAAAGCATATAATTGTTTAAAGCCGCATTCCTCAGATGTGTTTAGATGCTGCTGGCCATGTTGGCTGGGACTTCTGCATGTTGCAGTCGCAAGACAGGTGGTAATTTTTGTATCAGCCCAGTCATTGTGGCTACTTTTCTAGCCCTGTGCTTGCAACAACCAAAACCAACTCTAAGGGCATAGCAAATATCTATGTTCTGGAAAAGAATGTTAGGTATTGTACAATTCTCTCTACTCCCCAAAACATGGGTACATTTTTTAATACTCTTTTATATTCCTGATATAGTTTTTGCTAAAAAAAAATGAAATAGAAAGGCCTTCCAATGCTCTCGCCTCAATTCTCCAAGGCATTAAGTAGCAATGTTTGAAACAACTTTGTACAGGATAAATATCTACCAAGAATTTTTAAAATGATGTTGTACGTGATATTTCCATAATGTCAGAAAGCAGTCACTGAGTATGGGCGTTAGAGAGCTGGAAGGAATGTAAGTTGCTCAATTTTCCTATAGATCCCAATAAATATTCCTAGTTTCTCCCTTTAAACTGCTGCATGCTGTCTTTGCTACAAAGATCTTGGCTTATATCCCATTTGAGCACTTCACACCTTGGCTTACTTGGGATGAAAATCACATTCACTTTTCTATTGCAAACTTTCAGTAATTATTGTTAGAGATTCATATATAAGGCAGAATGCATTTCACCTCAAAGCGATGAAAGAACTCCTTCAGATTTGGGAACTGGTCCAAGCACTTTGGCTCCAGCATTTGATGTACATCTAACACATCATAAACAATGAAATCTACGTAGGTGAGCTAGAAAAATTAACAACAGGAAAATATTTTTAAATGGAAGAATAAAATGTGTCAAACAGTATGGTTCGATATAAATCACCTCAAGCATAAATACCGTTTTTCCTGCAAACCACTTCATGTCCCCCAGAAATTGAGAGAACAGCTTGAGTTTCCCAGGTAGTGATTCCAAATACTCAGGCTTTAGTTTTTCCTGCAAAAAGAGATGATTATCTACAGGCTGGCTTCTAGCCAAATCTTTGTGAAACTTTGAACTTAGCAACTTCCCGTTTTTCTTTTTCGTCCCCTTCTCTCAGCTCAATAACTAACACAGAACTTTTCTCTCTTTCCTTAAATTGAATTAATCTATCTGCTCACTCCAAAAAAGCCCAAACTGATCTTCAGATCATCTGTTATAGTCTGATACCATTTTGAAGGAAGACAAAAAGCACAACACTCACAAAATCTGGATCGTAACACAGTCTTCCTAAGTTTATACGAAAGTCCATGAGGTGGTTCTCAAGCATGTCTATCCTGATCATTTCTTCTTCCGTCTCACCACCTGTGACAACACAATGTCCTGCAAAAGTAAGAGACCACTTCTGGGCAATTATTTGAAGGAAATCAGTTTTAAAACAACACCAAAGGGGAGTCTGAACCACTTACACATCTTGTGCTTGCGTGCAATGTATCTCAGGATGGCATTGCTTTGGGTAATCTTTCTGTCACCATCAATAAGATAGGGGAGCTAGGGAGAAAGGAAAAGAAGAAGAATAAAGATGCAAAGATATTATGAATTATTACATTGCCCAAACATGCCCCTTGAACAATTCTTAAATTCTAGGAATCAATCAAGTGGAGGATTTTCTGAGAATGGCTTGAATTCATGTTTTTACGACCAAACATTGCTTCGGATATAACAATTTTGCACAGAGTTGTCAGTGGCCAGAATAGTAACTTTTTGGGTTCTACAGAGATTAAACTGAAATACCCAATTATTTCTCCCATCTTATCCATTCTGTTCCCTTGAACTTAAACTTCCAGCTAGAGGATTATTTCTACAGTATTTTGCTCTGACGAGCCTCAGCCTGTTAGCTTATTTTTAACTGTGCTCAGATGAGGAATTCATTGTAGTCCCAAGGTCAATCACACTGATTTTTGTTTTCTTGTCCCACCATCCCTATGCAATTATAGAGTGTGGTTGCAATCAAGCAGAATTCAGTCAAGACATTTTGCCTGCCAGGACTGCTTCTGTAACAGTTCAAGGCTCTTTCCTCATTAATTTCACCTATCTTAACAAGATCAGCAGCAACTTGATCTGCCCATCCCCTCTCAACCCACAGGAATGTACTGCTCCGTATTCCACAACTGCTCCTTACATTTGGAAAGTCCAAGCCCAGCTTCTCCTTCACACTTGTCCATTCAGTCAGATCCAAATTAATAGCTGTAAGCAGATGCATGTATTGTTAATGCAAGTCCATTTAAACAGATTGGGCAAAATGGAGGTTTTGGGGTTGCAACGACAGCAAAGATACGACACATTGTTTTGACCTCCCTATTACAGCAAAGTACAATTATGGCACATCCTAACAAAGGTCATTCTCATTTAAGGTTGACCTCTCAAGTCCCGATTCCATTGTTATATACCTCTCACTGCTCTGTCTCCTCCCCATTAAAGCCATTTTCTGAGAAAATGCCAAAAATCAGTTGTTCATCTTTGTGGGGCAGGCCGCATTGACCTTTTCATCCAGCACATTGAATTCCTGAACATCCCAGCAGCTTTGGAACTGCAGAAAGGGCCTATCCTGATTGCAGTTGGTTTTTCCATTCCACGTTGGGAATGGGGTGCTTCCCATTTCCATTGAATTGGAGGTTGAGGCAGAAGCTGGCTACTCTGAAATAATATTCCTAGCCTTGCCTTGAACACAATATTGCTCCCCTAGGTTTGTGGCTGACAAACTGAAGTACTAGTTTTACAGGAGATGCGGCTTAACTCCTATCCATTCTTACTAATTAAAGCTGGATAAATCCAGCTTTTGCCTTTTGTAGCTTCATGACAGACAATTCAACTATTAGGAACTTTGTAATATGGAAATATGATAAATGACCCACTGCCTCGACATCTGACATACACTGCAGTTTATACAGGATTCCCTACTTTATTTGATAACAGTGTTCCAATATCTAAGGGGCTGCCACAAAGAAAAGGGAGTCAACCTATTCTCCAAAGCACCTGAGGGCAGGATAAGATGCAATGGATGGAAACTAACCAAAGAGAGAAGCAACCTATAACTAAGGAGAAATTTCCTGACAGTTAGAACAATTAATCAGTGGAACAACTGGCCTCCAGAAGTTGTGGATGCTCCAACATTGGAAGTTTTTAAGAAGAGATTGGACAACCATTTGTCTGAAATGGTATAGGGTTTTCTCCTGAGCAGGGGATTGGACTAGAAGACCTCCTTAACCCCGTTATTCTGTATTTAGAAAAAAATCATTTTCTGTTTCAATCTTATACTCACCAATGCCAAGCCTTCCAACTTGCTTTGAAATATTTTCTGATTTCTTTTCACTGTTCTCCACTATGGTGAGATGTATTATATTCACATTTAAATAATAATCATCAGCATTTAGATATGCATATTAAGATATGATAACTGTATGCTTATCAGTATATATGTATTTGTATTATATACGCTATTTTGCAAGTATTGGAGACAGCTTAAACCATATAAAATTTACAGGCAAAAAGTACTAAATGTACTTTTTGCATGACTCTAGATACTATGACTTCACCCATTGTTTGTCCAGAACACAAATCTTTTCTAAAAATAAAACAACCCCCTCCCGCAACTACGCCAACAATGGTAATTATTATTTATACATTTTCCCAGGAAGATGTCTTTACAAATAATACATAATCAAGTGATTATGGTATCTCAAGTTGTCAAGTTTGCTTGAAACTAAAAACCTACTTCTGTGTTCATTTCACCTTCCTAAGCCAGCTTGACAGGTGGGGGCAGGAAAAGTGATCCATCATGAATGGGTCAATATTTTATTGATGAACCCATTTCATCCACTGGCAGAGAAAATCAATGCCTGCAAAACATCTACTGCCCCACTGACAATCCTCGTTCTGTGTCGAGAATATCTCTTCTAAAACTTTGCTAATTATTACCCTGGCCAGTGAGTGTACAAGTCTTTACAAGAAGCTTTTTCTCTGGCTTTGGTGCCCTCTCCTTTCAACATATCACCAATCAGCAGAACATATTTACCAGTCACTGGAGCCAAAATACCTCGGGTCTGTCTTTGGGGCTCAAGCTTCTCTAAACTGGTTTTCTACAGCCTGCAACTCCCAAGTAAGAAATACAGTAAGCTAGAAAAATAGCAGCCACACAAAGGAAGGAAATGGAGCCTGCTGTGATTCTATAACTATGTTTTTGTCCAATAGAAATAAAACTGTGACTTGATCCTGGACAACCAACTTTCTCACTTGGAGTCAGGTGGAACATGACTAAAACTGACAAATACAGGGAAACTGCCAAATAAGCACAACGTTTCCTTTTATTCTTTCCTAAGTGGCATGGATACCTGTGTGTTCTTGCCTTCCTCCACCTTGTCGAAAACCTGAAGACATGAGAATTTGCCTCTTGCATCAGATGTTAGGATGCAAATAATAAGGGCAGTAATTGTGATGGCACAATCATCATTTTGGTTATAATGTAGATTACTGTAGAAGCTAATTCCTGGAATAAAACTAGGTAGGCCGTTGGGTTGGTGACAGATATGAAAGGAACACAGGAAACAAATTGGTAATGGGGAAGGGAGAAAGGCAGGACAGGAATGCTGGGGGTGGGAGAGGGCTGGGTAGGAATCAGAGAAAAGTGAGTATGCTTTTATCTCCTTGAACCCCCAAACACATCTCCATTCACACATGCAGGTAATCCTCATCTAGCAACTGTTCACAGTTATAACAGTGATGAAAACGCAACTTTACTTTGCAATCAATCCTTGCATTTATGACTTCGCAGGTCTTTAAAGCAAAGGAAAGCTGAAGTAAGATCATAAGAACAATCACAATTTCCCTTAGCAACCACTTTGCTTAATGACAGCCTTGCCAGTTTCAATTGTGGACTGCTTTTACAATAGAAAGCGTCAAATGACTTTGCCTCCCAGGGAATAAATGACAAAGCTTAACAGCTTTTACATTCCTTGATGTTGGGGGGAAAATACTACTTTTATACTGATAAGCTAATGATGACTTTTGTTGTTTTGAACTGGGGATAAGGTAGAAACTTAATGGGAACAAGAAAGACAATGGGTAGGATTAGGATTTGTTTATGCTGTGCTTAGGTTCAAGTGAGCAGGGAAGCAATCAATCCAGTGTTAGTGTGCCAGCAATTTTACACAAATATGCAACCAGAGTTCAAGAACAACCAAAATGTGTAGTGTAGCCATTGAAACAGATTAACAGACATTTTGTTCTTATTCATGTATCTAAATCAGCAATGGAAAAAAAGGACCATTGTAAATCTCTGGCAAGTTTATGTGTGTTACAGATACCAAATAGCTTTTGTTCCTTCTAGCAGTTCTAATACTTAAAAATTGGGTGTATTGTTTTGGGCGTTTACTGGATCAGTTAAATTTTCTAAATCCAGTTATATCCAATATTGGCACAACCTGTCTAAGCCTGGAGAGAGCCAACAGGCCAGTTCAGAAAATATTGTGGTCAGCCCAGCATCCTCCTCCCAGAAAATTAGACAAGCCTTTTTGAAGTTCAAGACCTCTGTTCAGTTCCTTACCTTCCGCGGCGGCATAGTGTTTCTCGTTATAGGGGGTCTTGGTATACTCTAAGAGCAGTTTAATGCAATGAGCCAACTGTGGGGAAAAGAATATCATGGTAAGACAATCCATAGATACTCATCATTTGCCCCTGAGGCAGCCTTATAAAAAATTGAAATAGCTGGCTTAGTTTCCAGTATCAAGTGAGGAGGACCAGGTGTTGCTTTGCTCCCGGTGCTGCTGGTAGGCTTCCAACAGACACCTAAATTGCAGGATCCAATCCGAGTCGATCACCGGGACCAGAGATAGAGGAACACCACGCAGTGTTTCTCAACCTTGACAATTTTAAGGCATGTGGACTTCAACTCCCAGAATTCCACAGCCAGCAATGCTGGCTGTGGAATTCTGGGAGTTGAAGTCCACATGCCTTAAAATTGTCAAGGTTGAAAAACACTGGGTCCCAATCCTCACACCACCCACCGGTCCGTGAATTCACCCAAAGGGGGCGCGCGCGTTAGCCTCGAGCTGCAGGAGTTCTCCGCTTTGCTTTCAAGAGAAGCGTCGAGAAAACGCCTCGGTCCTCGTGGCTCTGCCCACCCGCCTGCCGCCCTCTTCGGCCTCGGTCGGTCGATCCAAAGACGGAAAGCGCCGAGTCCTGGGCGGGAGGGAGGCACCGAGACAGGGTGGCTTTTCTATGGTCTGCTCCCGGTCTGATCCTGCTGGCCACCCCGCTTCCCTCTACACCAGTGTTTCTCAACCTTGACAATTTTAAGGCATGTGGACTTCAACTCCCAGAATTCCACAGCCAGCATCGCTGGCTGTGGAATTCTGGGAGTTGAAGTCCACATGCCTTAAAATTGTCAAGGTTGAGAAACACTGCTCTACACAGATTTACCCCTCGGATGTTCCAGTAGCCCAGCGTGACTTCCATCTTCCTCGCGGGGCGACTCCAGACGTGCTTGGTGCTCTCGCTCGTAGCAAGCAAAAAACCGCTCCCTTTCCGCAACCGGCGGAGGCCGAGAGCTGCTTTTATACTTTTTAAGCGGAGGAATGTTCCAATGAGGAAGGAGTTGGCGAGTGCCAACACATGCAAAATGCTGATCGGAAAACCTTCCCCGAAGCGCAGACAATCAGGTCGTGGCTTGCGTGTTCCTCCCCTTACTCGCCGGACCTGACTTTCCTTCCGCACCGCTGACCACCTTCGTACAAAGTCCGGCTCTTCAAGTCACCTACGCTGGACGCAATTCGTTTGAGCCAAAGGAGATTTTTTTCCAGAATTAAGAGACGCATCTCGATGCCTTAACTGTTCCTTTCCGACAGTTTTAGCTTTGGACTTATCCTGAGAATAGATTATTCCTATAAAGAAAAATACCTTGAGCTGTAAATGAAAAAAAACAGTCGGGAGTACAGGAGAGGAAAAAAGCTTGTGTGAATGCAGTCCCTAATTTTTTTAAAAACCCCCACACACACCGCAAGAAAGTACTTGTGATTTAATTTATATAACGAGGAAAACACTTGAAGCGCAGTAAAACAATGTGCTTGAGGGGAATTATCAGCAGAATTTATTATAATTTTTATGAGTTACCCAGACTTGCTGAGAGAGATGGGCAATCACCTGGATTGAAATAATATTATTAAAATTGTCCATATCACAACAATCCACTCCTGAGTGACCTATCTTCTGAACATTTCTCTTGATGGAGGGAGGGCTGGAAGAGATCTGTAGTAGGTTTAGATCATTCACAATGCAGGACAATAAGTTAAGAATGCAAATAGCACCAACTTTTTTTTGACAAGGGATTTGTGAAATATCCCAAAAGAGTACAGGAGTACAGCACTACAATGTTAAAAGTTGTTGAGTGTAGCTTCCAGTTGGATCCAGCACTGAATTCTTTGAGATGAACAGCCTCCATTCCATTCTGAATCCTGGTTAAAATGTATCTAAGATTCATCGAGGCTGCTTGGTCTATATTCTGATGTTTTTCCAACATCTGGATCATATGATCTTGGGATCTACTCGGACATCAGACATAAGAGAGTTTGAGAGACCGATCAACTGATCAGCAGCTCTACTTAGCAGAAAGAACTGTCACTTGTTTGCTGGTTAGAGACGAAGGCATCTTCATCTTCCTCTTTCAGGTCCTGAACACACATCGTTTTATCTTTCTTTCATTGTCACAAAAATGCTAGTGTTGAAGGAAAAATCTTCATCAGGATCCAGTCCAAGCCGGGAATAAACAATATGGTGACTACTTTAAAAAGAAGGTTGTAGTTTATTGAAGAGGAGAGCCAGACAGAAAGATGGCTCTGGAAGAAAAAGAATGAGAGCACATGTAGGGAGTGGGTTTTTATACCCTCTGAGGCTCTTGAGGTTATTTCCTGTTCCTGTTTGAGGAATGAGAAGGAGAGCTCAGCAGGCAGGGAGGAAACAGGGACAGGGAAGAAGCAGCAGCTGTTGCTGGAAGAAAAGGTCCCCTGGTTCGTTTTCTCCTGCCAGGAGAATGCAATCAGTGCTGATGAAATGAAAAGCCGGCAGATGAGCATATCGGAAAGGAGGTGGGTTTATTTAGTTTTGGATCAGCTAGCAGCTTGGTTGGGTTACCATAAGGATTTTTGTACAGTTTTTACAGCGTTTTGTAATTCAGAAGCTCGGTTTGTGTGCTTTGGTTATTGGAATATTTTAGTCTGTATTTTAGGCTAGCAATGAGTCCAAAGTATTGACTTCTGTAGGTTTAATCCCTTTAAACAAATGTAATTAGTTTTACCCCTTATCTTGAGTTTGTCTATGGCTTTTAGAAAGTTTTCTTTGAAGGTAAACAGGCTTAATTTAAGGCTAAAGCTTTTCACAATTGCCAGAGCCTTTCAGTCTCGGGTTGCAACATTGTGACACGTGACAGGCCTGAGGCAGTTTAAAGAAAAAAAAACCCGGAGTTTATGTGTTTCTTTATTTTTATTTTTTTTTATTTTTTTTTAAATTTTTTATTATTTTCAACATAAAAAAGAAAGCAATCACAAGTACATCACAATTAAGAAAAACTCCCTCCCCACCCCCCACCCAGACTTCCCAAACCAAATCCCAGGATACTATTCATCTAAAAGTAACCTTATATTAATATCCCTAACTCCACAAAGTATAATTCTACATAAATAGGTGAAATATATATATATATATAGAAAAGAAAATTTTTTTTATCTAAAAACCTAACCTATATTCCACCATTCTATGCTTATTTTGAATATAAACAATCCATCTTCTCNGTACAGGGAAGGGATTGGGGGGTGCATTCTTACTACACTGTGGAAGGAGAGCTCAGAAGGGAGAGAGGAAGAAGGGCCGACCAGCTAGCTCAAGGGTCTACAAACCTAACAACTTTAAGACCTTTAAGATGACTGAGGAATTCTGGGAGTTGAAGTCCACAAATCTTAAAAGTGCCAAATTTGAAGACCCCTGAGCTATCTAGTAGTGGTGCATATTAATAAACATGGATAAATTCATCATACATTTGTCAGTGCAAAGGAAAAGTGATTCAGCAAAGGAACAGCCACCGAAGAAATTAAAACTGGTACTTTTTTCCTTTTTTTTACAGTTTGTAATATTTTATTAGATTATAGAATAAAATACAAAAATACAAAAGCAAATAGTAGGACACAGTGGGGGGAGAAAAGGGGAAAAAAGTGAGGGGGAGAAGGGGAAAAGAACAGACTTCCTCTGTTGCAGTAGAAAGAAGCATTAACATTGAACCTCAGCTTTTTACTTTTCCATAATATTATAAACTAGCCATTTCTATAACAACAAATGAATCTAATCAGTAAAACCCAAATTCCCCCCCCCCTTTTTTTTTAAAGTCATCAAGTTTTGACACCTGGCTAAGCACTGGTGGTACTCAAATATTGCCATGTCCTAAAAGTGGTACAATCTGTGAAAAGGTTGAAAAGCCCTGATCTAGATGAGGGGATAGAAGGAGAACTCATTAAATTTGCAGACAATACCAAGCTGGGGGAATACTTAATACTTTAGAACAGTGTTCCCCAACCTTTCCAGCTTTGCGGATCGGAAGGGGGGAGAGAGAGGGGATGGTTTCACGTGAACAGTGGGTGCATGCGTGCACTCACTCCATTCAGGTTTCCGTTTCTTTCCTGCTTAAAAATAAATAAAAAGAAAATTACCTACTGACTGGTTTCCAGCAAGCTGTTATGAAATCTTAACCTTCCTCTTTCTAGGCGTCTTTTGGTTTTCTTCCCGCTCTCTTTCCTCTGCTTAATAACTTGAGACAACTATGACCTAGATGACTGAGAATCTCCACAGACATCTAAACAGAGAACTTTTCTCTTACCTTCCTACCCCAGGGATAGAGGATTGATTAATTATGCAATTTGCCCCCTCACCTTGAAACTACCTCAAACCAATCTTCAGATTATTTGTTACAGTCTGATACCATTTTGACTGGGAGGGAAGAAAGGCAGAAGGGAGACAGAAAACATCACACAAAATCTGGACTGGAGCACAACTTTGCAAGGCTATTTGAAAATCTGTCAACTGATTCGCCATCACAACCACCCTGGCCCTTTAATGATCTGTGGCAAAAATAAGTATCTGCTTCTGGGCAATCATTTTCATTTTAAGGCAACACTGAACTCAAAAACATTTATACATTTTGTCTGTCCAAGCCACCTTTCTCTTCACACTAGTCCACTGACTTGTATCAAAGTTAGGAATTGTAAGCAGAGATGTGAATGGTTAATGCAAGTCCACTTGAGCAGGTTAGGCAAGATGGGCATGTGGTTGCGAGAACAGCAAAGAGTTTTGACATTGCTTCAGCAAAATGCAATTATGATAACTATTAACAAAGGTCATTCTCATTTAAGGTTGGCCTGTCAAGACCTCATTGCACTGCTATACCATACCTCTCTGACACTCTTCTGCCTTCTCCCCCCTAAAGCCATTGTCTGAGAAAATGCCAAAATCCATTTCTTTATCTTATTTGGACATGCAGCACTGAGATTTTGTCAGCCCTTCAAGGTAGACAGTCTAGGAAGTCAATGCTCTTTACCATAGGTCAGTACTACTTTGATTGTAATGCCATAGTAGTAGAATCTCGCAATTCTGAACATGCTTCTCCCTCCCTCCCTTTATCTTTGTGTGAATTAGAAAGGGGCTTTTCTGAGATGTTTATTCACACTACATACTTAGCCTGGACTGGAGCCCCTTCTATCTAATCATTGCCTTGGTAGCAGCTCTTCTTTCTGACTCTCAAGGCCATTTCCTCTATCCATCATACTGAACTCCTGGACTCTATAGTAGCTTTGGAATTGCAGGGAAGGATTGTCCTGTTGGAGTTCGTTTAGGATTTCCACTGAAGCTGAAAGTCGCTGCTCTAAAATACTATTCCTAGCTTTGCCTTGAATGCAATACTGTTCACCTAGGTTTATTGATGACAAACTGGCTAAAGCAGCGGTCTCCAACCTTTGCAGCTTGGTGGCTCGGCTGGGGGGGGAGGAGAACCGGACCGCATGAGTGGAGGCCCAGATCACATGTGCACGCTCAATTCAATTTGTGTAAACAGAGGCCCAGTGCTCACGCGCATGCATGCGTCACTCAACTTGCACAAGTTGAGCTGCATGTATGTGTGCATATACTCCAGCCTGCTGCTCAGACAAGTTGAGCTGCGCGCACAACCTGTGCACACCGGCCTGCTGCTCACACAGCCCAGTTCTGAATAGGCCACAGCCAGTAATGGGCTGCAGATAGACGGTTGGGGACCCCTGGGCTAAAGCATCAGTTTTACCCATGATGATGCTTAGGTCCTATCCCACTGTGCTGTCCTGCTCCCACAGACTTGCACACACCACAAACAGTTTTAGGACTCTATTCAAACCCCTCCCAGCAAGTCCTAAGGTTGTACAGTACACACGTGGTACAGGTCCAGTTCCCACAATCTGACATGACAAGAAATACTAGGCAAGTCCAGTCCAGAAAGCACAAACGAAGTCCAAGAGAGTAATCCAAAGTCAGAGCACGAAATCAT